TTAACCCTCAAAGAAATAAATTTTCTCTAATTATATTTAGGATAGACTAAAGTACTAAGATTATAAACATAATAACAAACATTTATTTATTTATTTACTTATTTACAAGAAGGAACATTAAGGTGTAAGAGTACATAACATTGATATTCTTAAATTCTTGCAAAGCCACTAATACGCAGCGTTTTGGGCAGTAATTAAAAGGCATGTACATTGCAGCAGCATTTGATTTCAACTTAATAACTGCAATGAAAATAATTGTATTGATTATAATGGTGAAGCTGCGTGTCTTAAATACCAATATTGGGAGAGTGGGTAGCACAATAAACATTGTGAGTTTGAAGCACAAGGTAGGAAACTATGAGGATGTAATTAACTACTTATTTGGTTTTACTTTTGAAAGTTAGGTTAGAAAGTGTATTAATCCGGTTGTGAAGGAGTTCCATAGACTGGGTCCTTCTATTTGCATAGATTTAGTCTGACTAGAGATATTAAAGAGATATTTATTTCTGGTGTGTTTCTTTATTTCTTATTTCGTGGGTTCTGTAACATCTATCAAGTAAGAGTTTCAGATCAGGATTAGCATTTATAAATAACGTTTTGTACATGTAAAGAGCACAAGAGAATGTGTGGCGTGAGTGTATGTTTGGCATGTGAGAGGACTTAAACAGAGGGGCTGTGTGTTGTCTGAAGACAGAGTTTGTTATAGTTCTGGTAGCAAATTTTTTGCTGAGTGATGATAGGCTTGAGGTAATTTGCAGTGGCTGAACCCCATGCACAGATACCGTATGTTAGATCGGAATAGATTAGTGAGTAGTATAGTGAAAGGAGAACACAGTGAGGAATATAATATCTGATTTTAGAGCACTGTATATCGATATTTTTTTTTATACTTTTTTGGCTGTGTTCTTTGTGGGTGCTGAAGTTCAGTCTCTTGTCTATGTATAGGCCAAGGAACTTCATTTACAATGCTAATTTTTATATAATGCCATAATTTTTAATGATAATTAACATTTGTCTATCTGAAGGTGAATTTACTTTGATGATTTACTTCCAAATAAAATGTAGTAGGTCTTTTCTATGTTTAGTGTGAGTTTTTTGGTTGTCATCCATGAGTGTCACCCCCCTCCAAAAAAATCATCATTATAAGGAACTTTGCAAAAGAAGAGGAGAAGAATAATCAGGAAATCACCGAGGTAATGATAGGAAAACTGATAAGCAAGGAGGAAAATCTGACCATTTCTGTTTGCTGTAGACACATTGTTGGATATGTATGGGATGGACACAATCTGTTGCATTCAAAACAAGGCAAGTTTTGTACTCTTCATTTTGTAGAGGGTTCGAAAAAGAAGGCGACAATCAAACTTAACTTTTCCTTGGCCTAGTACAGTACATATATAGGCCTAAGATTGCCTGTACGGCCTAGAATTATTGAATTAGAGGGACAGGCGAGATTAGGTTAAAAATATGGCTAGTCTGTTTCACTTGTTATGCTCTTTAGAATTCCCATTGTATAAAAAGTGGACTCTTTTCTTGGGTACAACAGTACTTATTTTGTATATTTTTTTGAAGGATGAGTTGATGTATGTATATTTCTTTACGGTCCACATATCTTCTCTGGGCCGGTGTTTTCCCCCGCCTCCAAAATGGGAAACTGGGCAACGATGACCATCAGCCTATTGTGTACATCCAATTTCCATCCATTCAACACAAGCCCGATGGATCGCTAAGCCACTAGGACTATGCGTAACAATGTTTGACCACATATATTCTAGTAGTAATATGTTCTACGAATGTCTTCTCATGAGGTAAGTCGGGTGTTTGTGGCAATACTGCAGCTCTCCACCTCGTTCGGGTTGAAACAAAAAACAGTGTAAGTGGCCTTGCCTTTGCATGCCAGAAACTTTAAAGCAGGAACGGGTGGAGTATCAATTATGTTCGTCCGGCAATGTTGACAGCTGAGGTGGGGGGCAGCAGTTGCTGTAGTGGGCAGCTGCAGCTGGGGTGGTGGGCAGTAGCAGAGGCCAGTGCAAAACTATAAACTTGTATCATATTCGATACTGTGGGCAGCTGTGTATACGATACTGTATATGAAGCAACTAATATAGCCTCAAAATCTGTTAAATAGATTAAAACAACTGCGTCGTTAGCAAAAAACTTATTTTCAACGTAAAAAAAAATCCTATAATAGTTCAAACTTGAACCAAAATCTGAATATTGCGGGCACAGTTACATTGACCACTGCGCATAGTCTGTAATTAAGCCGTGCATTGGTAACTCATACTAAATCATCCTGATGATAAACTCTACATACAAACTGCACTTACCATCAAGAAGAAGAAATTATCCTTACCCAACACCCAGAATGTTGTATTACTCTCCAAGATTCCAGTGGACAAAGCCTCCATAAATCTTCTCCATATTACGTCGTCCAGAGGCCTATGTGAAGGCCGGTTGATAGTCATGAAAGTGACCTTGACCAAGACAATTGAGTGCAGTCAGTCACCATGTTCCATGCCAGGGCAGAGTCAGGCCAGACAGTAGGCTAGTTGACTCGGCGGGAAGAAGGCGATCCCAATCCCTGTGTTAGTTATAGCTCAAGATTAACTACTGTGCATCAACTACAATTTGTTGAATTTTACAGATGCAAGAATACATCTGGAATTCATGTAGGCTCCGAGCGAATTCAATGTAACATATTCGAAACATTCAAATTGAAATATTTACCCGTCTGTAGACACATAAACAGAAGATACTGAATTTTATACATGAGATCTCCATGTATACTGAACAATGCAATGCGTGAGCACTACATATTCTGGCATTACTGAGAATTCACTCCTCCATAAGAACGCGTTAAGCTGCCGCCTCATGTTTTCCTCAAAGTGAGTACGACTGTGTGGAACATGTATTTGTTTTATTTTGATGAGTGACAGGTTAGTCTTAGCCAGTTAGTCTTAGTTAGTTAGCCAGTGTTCTAGAACCCATATTCACGAAGCAGTTACGCCAGTACTTACGAACGTGTACATCTTTCCCTCAATGTTTGACAGCTTTGGTTACATTTATTAAACGGTTTACAAGCATAAAAACCTTTCGAATTAACTCTTGTTATTGTTATAAACAGCCGTCTGGTGTTCCGGAGCTCATTAACTGTTTAATAATTGTAAACAAAGCCGCCAAATATTGAGAAAAGATGTTCAGGTTCGTAAGTGCTTGCGTAACTTCGTGAATCTGGCCCCTGAGTACTAAGGACGAGGAAAAAACAGAGAAAGCATAAATGGGGTGAAGCCTGAGAGGGGAAGAACTATGTAGTAGAGTGTTCTAGTGTTCTGTTCTTGGACCTTTATCATTCATAACATGTATAAATGATTTTGATATTGCAGTAAATTGCAAACTAAATAACATATATCTATAAGAGAAAATGTTTTGTCCAAGATTAAAGGCCAAACGCTAGGGGATAGCCTCGCCCAACTTTGCAGAATGACTGGTGGTGGAAAGGTGTTTGACCAACATAGGCTTGTCGAGGTTAACCCATTGCTCCCACTAAAAGGTAAATGGGTCCCATAGCGACCCCCAATGACGCAACCCTTTGGTGCCCTGGTCAACCCAAGCCCCGCTGGCTCCCTTAAAAATCAGGGGCATTATAAATTCAAGGAGATTACAGGGAACAACAGGGAAATCTCAATGATCTCGGCACTAGTTTAATTGATTTTATTTATATATATACAAAAGTTCTTACATTCTTATACAGCCACTAGCACGCATAGCGTTTCGGGCAAGTCCTTAATCCTAATTTTCACATACACACACACACACATCCCCAGGAAGCAGCCCGTAGCAGCTGTCTAACTCCCAGGTACCTATTTAATGCTAGGTGAACAAGCGCGTCAGATGAAAGAAACTCGGCCCATTTGTTTCCGCCTCCACCGGGGATCGAACCCGGACCCCTTAGGACTACGAGCCCCCGAGCGCTGTCCATTCAGCCGTCAGTTTATTAAAAAGTTCTGTTGTCAATTATTTGTATTTGAACAAAAGTACTGTCAGTATGCTTGTCTTAATGTGAAAACACACACACAAAACATTTGAAACAAAAGTGGCGAGGTGCAGTGGATAATGCATGCGTCATTTTGTCAGTTGGTTAACTTCTGTTAACATAATATAGCGCAAAAACAATTGGTGGAATTACTGAAGCGCTGCCAGATTCTCTGCTACTATAGAAATTTATCTTATTTTATTAACCTAACCTGACCTTACTCGATAAGGACATAGGAAATGTATATGTTTATCTCTCAGAATGTTCGGTAATACGTTTATTGCTTGTGATGTGTCTATATATGTATTAACACAAGTACTGAACGGGGTGAGAAGAGCTTGAGCTACCTCATCCCTTTGTGTGTATTTTTCCTCAATAAACTTATTTCAATTTCAATAAGGACATTCAACCCTATACAACAAAGCCCTTCAGTAGGTTGAATCACGGTGAACCTATTCACTGGCAGCTGTGTGTGATATAATAATATGGCGATGAAGCACAGGTCTCCGCTCAACGGATTACAGAGATAAAATCAATATTAGACCTGTATTGTAACCGCTTGTACTACGTACGCTAATTCACGCAGCCCGACCGTTACAATCCTCCATTGTCATTTAAAGTCAATATTCTATGTAGTCTTACAATTGTTAACCAATATAAATCGTTGTATATGCTAACGTTCGCAACGTGTATTATATTGGAGGTCATGACCAGCAAATTATTTGCCTCTACGCTTTAAACGTATAACTTACCATATTACTTTCAAATAGGTATAATTTAAAAAAAAAAGTATCAGCAAGAATGTTAATTCTCAAACACGCATTATGTAAATTGGTAGTTGGTAAACACGTGATTGTTATTTCACGAAAATGACTATTTGTTTACATGGGAACTTTAAATAGGCAGGTGTTGGTGTGTTGCAGGAGCGGCCCCCTGAGAGTGTGTTGAGGGGGAGGGGGATGATTTAGTTTGTGTTGCGAGGGCGGGCGAGCGAGTGAGTACTTGGTAGTGTAGCCACAAGATGGCAGTGTGATCGTTTTAAGAATGTGATGGTGTCTGTGCCCAAGATTCTCCTGACTATTTGGTGTGAAACGTACGGATTAGTGATGGATAGTGAGGGAAATGGCCGTTCTGGTGTTCCGTTAGTGTGTTAGCGTCGCGTCTCCGCCCTAAAAATGAGGAAAAAACCCTGATAGCGTTCTTAAACCAGGTAAGTCCCGAGTTCACCCCTTGTAATACCTCAGGTGACTTCAATTGGCCTTAGGCAATTTCACTCCCAGAAAGGGAAGACCATTAAATTTTGACAGGTAAAGGCCTTGACTTTCCCAAGGAAATGGGGAAGGGGGGGGGGGGAAATGGTGACTTGTGTGTGCCAGTGGTGGCAAGAGCCAGCGTGTGGGAGTGAAGAGATGGGAGAGAATGGTGGGAGGCGAGGGTGTGTGTGCGTGGGGGTGGGAGGAGGAGAGACACCCAGCAGGGAGAGATGCTGTGGGACTCCCACGGGGCTGAGCTCGACGCTGCTCCTGCTGATGCTGCTGCTCCTGCTGATGCTCATGCCTTACCAACACATCCCACACACATACACATGTCAGAGTGGTTGACAAATGGAATGCATTAGGAAGTGATGTGGTGGAGGCTGACTCCATACACAGTTTCAAGTGTAGATATGATAGAGCCCAATAGGCTCAGGAATCTGTACACCTGTTGATTGACGGTTGAGAGGCGGGACCAAAGAGCCAGAGCTCAACCCCCGCAAGAACAATTAGGTGAGTACAACTAGGTAGGTGAGTACATCTCCGCCCGCGCTCTTCAAATCTTCTTCATCTTCTTCTCTATTGCCTCCTGCTGTTTCTCCTCTTTCTTCCCTACACACGCAACATTCGCCCACTATTTTGTGCCTGTTTTGACGGGGGGAGGTGGGGGAGTTGGTGAAACTTTGGTACATAGTATTAATGTTTGACGCTGAAGTGGGGTTTGTAAAGTAACATCCCATCTCTCTCTCCCATTTCCCTTTCTCCCTTCTCCCTCTCTCCCATCTCCCTTTCTCTCCCATTTCCCTTTCTCCCTTCTCCCTCTCCCATCTCCCTTTCTCCCATTTCCCTTTCTCCCTTCTCCCTCTCTCCCATCTCCCTCTCTCTCTCTCTCTGGGAGCCCCTTATGTGGCATAGATGTAGGCAATGATTATTTTGCTGGTGAGAGTCAGGATTAGTTGTGATTTGAAACCAAAGAAACTGCATTATATATATACAGTATATATAAATATATATAATATTATACATGTGAAATGTAGTAAATAGGATAATACGATTTATATGGAGAAGTCTTAGCAGATACTAGTAGTAATAAGATTTTCTAGTGGTTAGTTCAGTTAATTGGACATTTTAAGTTAAATTCTTGGTCAGGAAAAGATACTTGGGCACACATACTTGCACCTGATGCCTCTGTTCGCCTAGCAGTAAAGAAATTACCAGCTGTCATTAACTGTTGTCAATGTTTTTCAAAGAAATTGTCTGGGACAGGAAGCCAGGCTTGCTTAAGGCTTGCTTAAGAGCATTTAGGCCAATTACTGATCTCTAGGATGCAACCCACTAAGTGTTGTCTAACTTACAGGTAAAGTACCTATATATTTCTATGGGAATAGAAAGAATAAAGTGTAAGGAAATGTACTCGAATGTCTAATACCTGAGGAATGAACCCAGGACCTTTTGGAAGTTACTGATTTTGGCATCTTAACTTGCTTAGCATTTTTTCTTTTAATTATATTATTGGTGTTAGAATTGACACAGTATATTATTAAGTAATTACTTGCAGATTGATAGAATGAATGTTTGATTTCTTTTGCATGACATGTTGTGTGATGTGTACATGTAGTGATATGTACACACATCACACTACATGATATGTACATGTGGTGTGTGGACATCTTAAAATGATGCAAGATGGCTTAGTTTTTATATTTATTCCACTTTACCCAAAGGTTTGGAAGAGCAAGTTATGAGGAGAGGGTTTACATTGGATTTAGGCCAGTAATCTTAAACTATTGAGGCCATAAGTGTTTCCAATGCATAGAATATCATCGTACAGTACAGTAATTACAAACACAAACCTAAATGTACTTTCCAAGGAATTTGATGTATTAAAGTTGCAAATGCAACAACAATTTTATTCTTCCAAATTTTATTGTCTTCCTCCTCCTTTATTGTTGCTGTTATTATTTCTTTTATATTTCTAAAAAGAAAGTAAGATGTTCTTTCCGTATTTACCATCTGAAGGTCAGATGTGTAGATATACATTACAGGATTTAGAAATATATTTTTGGAATATATACAAGAGTTGTTACATACTTGTACAGCCACTAGTACGCGTAGAGTTTCGGGCAGGTCCCTGGAATACGATCCCCGCCGCGAAGAATCATTGTTACAACCGAGTACACATTTTACTGTTGAGTTAAACAGAGGCTACAGTTAAGGATTTGCGCCCAGTAAATCCTCCCCGGCCAGGATACGAACCCATGACAAAGCACTTGCGGAACGCCAGGCGAGTGACATTTTTCAAGGTGCCTGGTAAAATAAAAGAATGTGGCAAAAATAAAAAAATATTTGCCTCCTTTTGAGTAAAATAGTTTTGCTTGTACAGTAATTTATTTACATTATTGCACATTAGGCTACTTAAATTTAAAAAAGGGCCACCATCCCTAGTGGTATTAATATAGACAGAAAGCTGGTGCTTTGCAAGTGGCATTTCCTTTACTTGTACAGTATTTCCAAAGATTTTTTCAGCCATACTGTATTTTGAGCTGTAACACCGAGAAAGGGCAGTTATGTTTAATAGTGAAATACAGAATTCAAGGATTTGTTTGAGTCAAGATTGCCCTGCCCTTTGAATATATTCAATATCACTATAGCATAGTACAGTATTCACCTGTTACTCTTCTACTTTCACGACTTAATAAATTCTGTTTTTATTAAAATGTTTTTATAAGATATATTTCAGTTATGGTTTTTGTCTTTGTTGCTTGATGTTGAGTATCTTCCAGTTTGTCAGAATCCTTTCTTAAATAGTGCTCAAAATAATAGGTTATGCAATTTTTTTGACTAGGACATACTATACCTATGGTTTGTACAGAGAAGATGGTTTTCACAGGTCAAAATTCAAAAGATCTCTCAGTAAATTCTAATACAGTACTGTACAGTATTGTACTGTATTTTATTGGCTATTTCTTTGCAGCCTTAGTGTACCTTGTTTTACCTTAGGGCCACTAACCTTAGTAGCCTCAATGAGGACAGGAAGCCAGCGGCTTGTCAAAGGTTCCCCCCCCCCATTTGCCTTGATGATCTTTTCCAGGTATACTGTATTTTAAAACCCAACACAATTTTGGCATTTACGGTGTCAGCGGGTAGGCGGTTCCATGGGTGAAAAAGCAACTCCTGTTCTCAGTCCTACATTGTGGCATGTTGAGATTGAAACCATTGCTCCTTGTTTGTGTTACACCTGACCTTCCGAAGAAAATATCCAGGTCAACACCCTCTAACTTGGTCAGTATTTTAAATGTTTCGATGAGATCCACCCTGTCATGCCTGGTTTGCAGTGTTGTTAGTCCTGTGGCCTTCAATCGTTCCTCATGAGGGAGGTGACTTAGCTGTAGAATGACTTTTGTTGCCCAGTGTTGCACCTTCTCCAGAGCAGCTTTGTCTTGAAAATGAGGTCTCCATGTTTACATACAGTAATCCAATTGGAGGTGCACCAGAGATTTATACAGTTGAACCTTTACCTTCTTTTCCTTATAGTCAAAAGTTTGCTTGATTATCCCAAGAGTTTGGTTAGCTTTTCTGACTGCTGCACCCACCTGTTGTGTAACATTTAATGAGTGGTGGATTTTGACTCCAAGGTCCTTTTCTTCATCAATCTGCTGTAATGCAATGCTATAAATTTGGTAGTCAATGCATGGGTTATGCCCCACATGTATTCGGACCAAAGAGCCAAAGCTCAACCCCCGCAAGCACAATTAGGTGAGTACATGTATGGTCTTACATTTATCAATATTAAAAAGCATTTGCCAGTCTTCTGATCATTTTTGGAGTTCATGTAGATCTAGTAAGGCTTCAATATCATTATCATTTCCCACCTTACCATAAATCTTTGCGTCATCTTCAAATTTGATGATGTGGTTTGTAATCTATGTCATTGATTTATATGACAAAAAAGAGTACGTCCCTAAATGGACCCTTGTGGCACCCAACTTATCACATTTCTCCATTTTTTTTTTTTTTTTATACAAGAGTTGTTACATTCTTGTACAGCCACTAGTACGCGTAGCGTTTCGGGCAGGTCCCTGGAATACGATCCCCTGCCGCGAAGAATCGTTTAAATCAGATCAGATTAGTTTCCAGATTCGTACCAGTGTCGCTCACTGTTGTCTTTCTTTACTTTTATTATCTCAGTTGTGTTTACCCAGGTGCTTAGATTCAAACACCAGCAGGATAGAGAGCAAATTGTGATTGCTTGTGGTACAAGAAAGCTCATCTATAGTAAGGCATTCAGACCAATAGCAGATTTTGTTCTAGGTTATAGGTAAACCTCCATTACGTCCATATAAATACTGTATACTAACTAATTTTATATTTGAAAGAAAATAAAGCCATAATAAATAAAATCAACCTTTAAAAAGTTTAGTGATTTCAATACTGTACTTTTAAGGTGACTTCAATACTATTTTGTCTCCAATAGCCAAATTCTTTTCATGAGTTAATCAACTACTGAAGTAACCCTAAGTTGATTGACTGATATTAACAAGTGAATGCATTTTTTCCTGTTTCAACAGACATTAACCAAAAAAAAATATTAACCAAAAACCAGCGGTGTTATATGCCTGTCTTATAGTACTCAATAAGTACTTTATTAGTATAGGATTATAAAGGAAGAAAGTTTTTCTCTTTGGATATTATACAGTTGACCTTTTGCCAATATCCAGACAAAATAAATTAAAAAATGCCATCAATGGCTTGCCAAATTCATCATGCTACCTTACATAGGCTTATAAATAAATAGGTGAACAGAGGCATTAGGTGACTGGAAAAGTGCTCAACAATTTCTATCTCACCCAGAATTGCTTGACCGTGAGCTGAGAATGACCAACTGTACAAAGATACCCTAAATATTGGACCATAATGTCTACAAGGGGATTGGGAGAAAGTCACCAAAAAATGTCAA